AGGGAAGCCATCATATTGCAGCCGAACCTAGAACAGGACTCTCCAAAGTGAGCAACTTTAAGACTTGTGGACCAACTCCCAAAATTCTTCAACCCGTCATGCTTAAAGTTGTGAAGTTTGGACACCCCCTAGCCTAGAGACAGGCTCAACGGGCTATCTAGCCATGTAATTTGCTCCCTGAACTTAGATATTCTGCTAATATAATTTTCAGGCTTGTACTGAAGGTTAGATGGGACATGATCTTGGACAAAATAGGAAGGGAAGAACCATGCTTGTCATTTTGAGTTTCATGGAGGAAACAGCAGAATATTGCTGAGATTTAGATGAACTCCATTGGTACAAGCAGAAAGATCCAGGAGCAATACTCAAATTTGATTTACTTAAGAAGAGGTGCATGTTAATTCATTTTGATTTATACAAACTGAGCAAAACATAAATAAGCAGCATACATTTTCTAGCAACAGCAGATCAGTTGCTGTATTTTAGATCTCCAGATTGAGGCAGCCTGTACTGTTCTGTTCTGTTAAAGAAAGAAAGTTTTCTCTCTGGTCCACCGATTAGGCAGGAAAATACTTAGAGCTGATTGGTTGGCCTGTCTGACAGCCCCTTATAAAAGGAGAACTGTCAGGCAGGGCTTTTGCTGGTTGTTGCTGTTACCTGAATAAAGAAATTCTTATCGTTACCTTGGATCTGAGTCTTCCTTGTCACCCACAATACAACATGTACCAAAATTGATCCAAGTCCCAGGATAAAGCTTGGAATGTATAAAGCTCTTTTTTTTTCAGAATCTTTTCTTTTTCCCATTGAAGCAATTTACCACACCGCTACTTTTAATGCAGGGATTCCCTTTCTCAAGGGACTGTTGGCTGAGGCTCAAAAAGCCTTAAACATCTCTTAATCCTTCAAGGAAAGAGGAAGATAACACTCCAGAGATTCAGATGTGAATGAATTAATTTTAAATACCAAGCAAGAACCAAGCAAAGGCCAGAAAATGCAAATTCTAAGAGACCCAATAAGGAGAAAGAAGTGTCTTTCCTGTCCCAAATAAAATTGGCTGTAAATGGGGAGAGAGGTAATGCCATTTTACCCTTTTTCCTGTATCACCCATCACAGAAGGGGGAAATCTCTCCTGTTTGGTTCAGCCAAGTAAGGATTGAGACACTGAGAATGAGAAAGAAACTTGGTGAATCAAAGAAATATCCAAGGAAACATGAAGCTAGATGCAGATTAAGTCCCTGCCCTTTTTTATTATTTATTATGGATTGATCTGATTCCCCTCCTCCTTTCTCTCTTTGGTCCTACTTTTTTCTATCTGTACTGTGACAATGTCTGCATTCATGCAGTCTATGGTGGCGCAGTGGTTAGAGTGCAGTACTGCAGGCTATTTCTGCTGACTGACAGCTGCCTGCAATTTGGCAATTCAATTCTCACCAGGCTCAAGGTTGACTCAGCCTTCCATCCTTCCGAGGTCAGTAAAATGAGGACCGAGGTTGGTAAAATGGGGGCAATATGCTGACTCTGTTAATCACTTAGAGCTGTAAAGCACTGCAAAGCAATATATAAGTCTAAGTGCTATTGTTATTCATGCTTGGAAGATAAAATTAAATCCTGCAGGACCTATGAGATTTTCTGTTTCTTTTCTTCAATTGTTCTTAGCTTTCAGTTAATACCCTAACCCGCATACTAAATAATTTACCTCTTCTGAAATCCATAATCTCACTCTGATAGGAAATTTAGCCAACACCGCAACAACTACAAACGCTGAAGGGAGGGAAGAAGTTCTGCTTACCTTCTCCTGATCAAGTCCAAAGGAATTTTTTCTCGTAGACTGTTGGTGTTAGATATTCCCCATATTGTGAGAGGTTGCAACAGTAAGGCTTATTTAATTATGGCAGAGTGGAGTACATATGAATCTCAAGAGGAATGGTACCATGACTGCATTACAGTAGTAGTAATTACTATAGTAGTTGGAAGATGCAAATTAAAAAAAAAACTCAGATCTTTCAGTATGAGTTTATTCAATTGTGTATTTTTAAGATTCATAAATAAGACAAGCTTCCTTACATGTAAATAAGGATTTTTTTTAGTTTCAGGATTAATGTCATGTACAGTATTTATTATATGTGATGATCACATTATATATTGAAAGAAAGCTCACACACAATCTTTGATTTGTTTTAAATATAAAAAAACCCCAAACCCAGCATGGAATTTGTTTTCAATTCCATGTAGACATGGATGTGTGTGTGCATGTGCATGTGTGCATGGTATTAACAACATCCCATTTCATTAGCAGAGACATTGTCAAATTTGAAATCCCTGGAGATCTCATGCTTCAGGTGAGTGACCTAGATTTGTTCATTAGACTTGTCTTGAGGCCATTTGTGGGGAACATAGTGCTCACACCCAATATTTTAGTACCTACTTGATTGACTTAGAAAATATGCAGCTCAGCCACAGGCTATAAAATCTAGAAGCCAGCTTACCCAGCCAGAAAACCATACACTGATCATGTTTAGCGATCAGTGGCTGGTTTTCTGCCTGGGTGTCAGAGGTCCAAGTAATACACCCCATTCAATAAGAACTCTGAGGCAGGCAGGTTCCTCAAAGAACATTTTATTAGGACATATCAAATTGGCACATTCCTGGTGGAAAACCGGTTCTAAGTTGCCACTGTTTTTTTATCCAATTAAAGGTAAAACGTTGTCACTCCCCCCCCCGAGTCTACAGTCACATGGTCCAATCAGCATGCAGTCCAGTTGCTAGGTGACCTCAGTCTCCACCTTTTGGACACCTGCACCAACGTCCTTGATTCCCAGGAGAAACAATTCTATTTTGGCTACAACACCCCAGCTATCCCGCCTCCCTGGCCTCTTTGCTCCAGGCTGTGTCAGCCCTGAAGCAGTGAGTAGAGAAATCTCCCTATAGAAAACTACAAAAAGAACATGGCCACAGTTTGGCCAGCTTCAGGGTTGACACTGGGTATGAATAAAATACTGAAGATTATTCTAATGAAGTACTTTTCCACCTTGGAGAAACTTTAAAATGTTTGGACCTTAACTCCCAGAATTCCCTTGCCAGAATCTTGGCCAGAGAATTCTGGGAGTTGAAGTCCAGACTTCTTAAAGTTGCCAAGACTGAGTAACACTGTTCTACTAGATAAACATTGATCTTATAGATTCCTCTACTGAAACTGGTTGTGTAGTTTTCAGTAGTAAGACAGCACTAGCTGGCCAGGGTGGATATATCACAAAACTGCACCCTTCTGTGCTCCTTCTCACCCCACACCTCTTTTCTGAAACTGTCTTGCAACTTAATCTGAAAGGATTTTGCTTTTAAAAAGGTGACAAAAGAATGACAACTTTGTCTTGTTTTTTTTTCCTGCACATATAAAATTATTTTAAAAATTAATTTGCTTCTAAAGTCTAGAAACAAAATAGCTTGCTGCTAAAATCTAGAAGCAAAGTCACTATTCCATTGCTAAGCCTTATGAGAAAAGAAAGCTATTCATCGCTGCTTTTTGTGGTTATACATGATGCTCAAATATAACAGGTCACTTACAGGAAGGAAATGAGAAAGAATGCTCTGCACTTAGGCCAGAAAGAGGTGAGGGGTGTTGCTTTAAAGAGACCATCAGTGCACATGTGGCTTTCTGCTGCCTGCTATTTTTAACCCCAGTTTATTTGTAACATCTATAATAGTAGTTTTTTAAATGCGTGGACTTCTGGGATTTCAGTTCTGGGAGTTGAAGTCTACACACTGTAAGGCTTTGAGGTTGAGAAACACTGATCCAAACCCTCAGACATTGTAGGTTGCAGCTGGGCAGCCTGGGAGAATGGATAGCCCCAATTTCATTATTCAAATACACATTGATTCATCTCTTGGTGTGCAGATATCAGAGGGAGGACTTAATGAGCAAGTCTATCCAAAGCTATGGTGATTCAGGTCAGTGAAGGCCTGAATATGGGCAATATCTGGAAGATAACAGAGTCACTGGTGGGCTAGGGGGTGTATTATATGGTCCTGCACTTACTTCAAGGTCTTAGCCTCAAGCCATGAAGCAGGAAATGAGTAATACTGAAAGGTTGGGGCTCCAATGTCAGCTCAATTTTGTGAACTTTCAGAGACCCTCCAGTGTTGCGGTAGAAATGCCTGAAGGGGCAAATCTTATTTCCTTCATATATTTTTTTGTTTTGTTTTAAGGATAGGCCTGCGGTGGTACAGTGGTTAGAATGCAGTACTGCAGGCCACTTCTGCTCACTGCCAACTGCCTGAAATTTGGCCGTTCAAATCTCACCAGCTCAAGGTTGACTCAGCCTTCCATCCTTCTGAGGTCGATAAAATGGAGACCCAGATTGTTGGGGGCAGTATGCTGACATTGTAAACTGCTTAGAGAGGGCAGTAATCCACTGTGAAGCGGTATATAAGTCTAAGTGCTATTGCTATAAAGATAAGAATGGAAGGTATCTGTGAGACTGCTTCTTATTTTTAATCCCTTTATCCTGAAAAACAGCCATTTTTGAGGGTGATTTTGAGCCTGAAGAATACCTGCTACCAATACCAGGCATAATTCTCAATAAAATGTTAGAATATCACATTCCTATTATGTAGCCATTTTACTCCCATATTTCTGCAGTGCTATCTTGGGGAGCTGGAAGATAACATAGCCCAAAGCTCATGACTGCAAAGTATCCAAAAGAGAATCTTTTTCTGCAATTACTTATTAGGATTCTAACCCAAGGATCTTCTCTAGGTATTACCACTGAAGGAGACAAAGTGGACAGCTACTAGAAAAAAAAGAGACTTATCTGTGATAATATCCTTCCTTTGGAATGTTTTGCCCAGCATGAAGGACCTTTCTTGATCACTTATTCAACATGTTCCTAATCAAGTGCCTGTGAAGTATTTGTTTTTATTTTAATGGAATCCTAAACCTTCTTGTTTTTTTTCTGAGTTCTTTTTTAATAAGCTACCCAGAGTTACAATGCTCAAGTTGGACAGCCATAAACATTTCTCACATTTAATTAATTAACATATTTTCATTTCCTCATTTTGAGAACCATTTTGTTATTACCGTATGTTATTATTTTTGTTACTTCATCATGAAGCTATGTTGCATTGATTATGGCTTTTAAATTCTATTTGTTGCTCTGTTCATTCTGACAGTGGTTTTCATATAAGAGCAGTGTGTGTGTGTGTGTGTGTGTGTGTGTGTGTGTGCTGTTTTTATATATTGATACCAACAGAACTTTTTCCTTAAATGTAAATAAACATTATCACGGAACGATCTGGATTGCAACCAGAGAGGAAGAAAGAAAAGTTCTAAAGACCGTAACCTTCTTCTCCGACTAAGCCAGTATCTAGATCTCCCCTGAACTTGGTATTTAATCCAATTAAAAAGGAATATTCATTGCCTTACTAATTGCAGAAATGGCATCCAAATTAATCACGAGTTCCATATGTTTTTATTTCAGAAGACCTGGCTACTTAAATTCCATCAATCTGGAATTATAGACCTGAGCTAGGAAACCATTTCTGGAATAAGGGCCACACTTGTTCAAAGTTGTGTGTGGGAGGGCATATTTCCAAAAAAAAAAAAAAAAGAGTGGATAGAGCCAGGACAAAAATAAAACGTGATTTGACATCATTTGCATTAAAGCAAATACAGTTAACAAGATTGCTCTCCAATCATAGATTTAATGGTTCTCTCCCTTTGTCATATTAAACCCTTCGATGTTAAAAATATCTGTTTTAATGGATCAGTTTGAGAGAATTGAATAATCTTTCAAAACAGTAGCCAAAGCACATTATGGTTATTGAGTTTTGCCATAGCTGCAGGTGAAGAAATATAATTAAGGCAAAGACAAAACAAAAACTTGAAAAACATTTCTCACACACATTCACAGACACAAATAAAGAGCACAGATTGTAATCTACTTTTGCACTAATTCATTCAACATTTCTCTTTTATTATGGAGCCATAATTCTATGAAGAGCAAGTACATTTTCCTTCCCATAAGTACTGAATTAGATTCTTTAACTGGAGCTGCACAGTTAGGTTCTCCTACTATTATCTTTCCCTTTCAGTCAATATTTCAAAGAGAGGAGCAGATGGTAGATTCTTCACATTATTAAATGCTCCCCCTCTGTTCTGTTAGAAAAGGCCTTTCTTCTCCTGCTGTTTACATCTTACATATGTTGACCTTAGGTCATCTAAGTTCCCTTGACATCTGGGCTGTGAGCAACTTTTGCTCTGAATAAGATTTTTCTTCTCTATATTTTGAGAGAGAGAGAGAGAGAGAGGCAGGTGATTAAATATAGCAATCAGATTTCCTGTTGCCCTCTCAGGTTGGACCATAAACCTCTCAAAACAACAGTTCCCGACCTCTTCCCTCCCACTCTGGCTACAGAAAAATTGCTGGAGGACTTGGAAAACTACTTAATGTTTGTCAAATGAAAGCAGAAACACAATTCAATTGTCATTTCCTATACCTTTTAAATATAAGATTTGTGTGAGAACTACCTTTTGTGAAGTAGAGTAAATGTAAGGTTTGAATAATATGAAGCTATAACAAAGGAGTTTGGTCTAGTGATTAAGGCATTAGGCTAGAAACCGGAATATCATGAGTTCAAGTCCCACCTTGGCAATGAAAGTCAGCTGAATGACTTTAGACCAATCAATTTCTCTCTCGGCCCGACTCACCTCACAGGTTGTTGTTGTGGGGAAAATAGGAGGAAGAAGGGGCATTAGATATCATATCACAAGACCTAAAATGGATACCTAACATCAAAAACGTCATCAAAAAAGCACAGCAAAGAATGTTCTTTCTGCTCCAACTCAGAAAGCTCAAACTGCCCAAAGAGCTGCTGATCCAGTTCTACAGAGGAATTATTGAGTCTATCATCTGCACCTCTATAACTATCTGGTTTGGTTCTGCAACCCAACAAGACAGACACAGATGTCAGAGGATAATTAGGATTCCAGAAAAAACCATTACAACCAACCTGCCTTCAATCGAGGACCTGTATGCTGCATGAGTCAAAAAGGGGTTGTGAAAATATTTACAGACCCCTCACATCCTGGACATAAACTGTTTCAACTCCTACCTCAAAACCATGCTATAGAGCACTGCAAACCAGAACAACTAGACACAAGGATAGTTTTTTCCTCAACACCATCACTCTGCTAAACAAATAATTCCCTCAACACTGTCCAACTATTTACAAAGTCTGTATTACTATCATTATTAATCTTCTCATCACTCCTTATCACCCATCCTACTTGTGACTGTATGACTGTAACTTTGTCGCTTGTATCTTTATAATTTATATTGACTGTTTCCTAGTATGATTTGATTGCTTATTGTACCCTATGACTATTATTAAGTGTTGTACCTTATGATTCTTGACTCTTGATGAATGTATCTTTTCTTTTATATACACTGAGAGCATTTGCACCAAGAGATCCTTGTGCGTCCAATCACACTTGGCCAATAAAGAATTCTATCTATTCTATCTATCTATGTGTTTTCTGCCTTGAATCATTTATATAAATAAAGAAAGAAAGAAATACATACATACATCTGGATCCAACAACATTCCATTTTAGAAGACAAGAAACAAACCAAGAGTCATAACTAAAGATGTAGTGTTAATGATGATCACATCACCAAAAGAGAGAATAAATAAAAAGATTTTAAAAATCAAAATGTATTTTGTTAATATATATTTCTATTTAATAAGTAAATAATTTATATAAATGAAAATACAAGATTGCTCATAGGCCTGTTTGTGTTTGTAGCTGATTTCAAGATCTTCCAGGGTCTCCTTACTAAATGGCTTAATATTCTTAAATTGGAGTTGGATGGGATAACTTCCACGCACTCAGATTGAATGTGAAATTATGCATATATTCAAGATCAAAAGTCACCTTGTGGTGAAATGAGTGGCAAACAAATTTAATAAAAAATAAATAAATCCCAAATCTCACTTCTTACATTTCTTTAATCATGGGGCTTGAGATTAGACAATACCTATGGGCTGAAAGAGTGAGTAAAATGTTCCTGAAATATGGTGGATGATAGCAGGGAGCAAGACTAATGACCAAACAAGCACTCCATTAAAGAGTAAGGTAGGTCTATCATGAGAATCTGGGTTGGCAGCATAGAGGAAGAGTGTACTATGAAATCTTGCTATTTTTCTCCTTTTCCACCCAACAACTCATGAACTCATGATTGTGCTTATGATCTTACTTCAGCTTTCCTTTGGTTCATAGACTTGCAAAGTTGTAAATGAGAGGATTGGACACCAAGTTACTTTTTCATTGCCATCTTCATTGTAAATTATTGTATGTGAGACAGTCACTAAACAAGGACCTTCACTCATCATCCATACACTTAGGCAAGAAAAACCAAAAATACACATATAGCCTGGGTGAAATTAGGCTTAACAGCAGTAACTGTGAGAGGGATCTTGGAGTCTTCGTGGACAACCAGCTAAATATGAGCCAGCAGTGTGCAGCCGCAGCCAAGAAAGCAAATGCAACCCTAAGTTGCATTAACAGAGGGATACAATCAAGATCAAGGGAGGTACTAATACCACTCTATAAAGCCTTAGTAAGACCACACCTAGAGTACTGCATCCAGTTTTTGTCACCACACTATAAAAAAGATGTTGAGACTGTAGAAAAACTACAGAGAAGAGGAACCAGGATGATTAGGGGACTGGAGACTAAAACATATGAAGAATGGTTACAGGAACTGGGCATGGCTAGTGTAGTGAAGAGAAGGATCAGGGGAGACATGATAGCAGTGTTCCAATATTTGAGGGGCTGCCACAGAGAAGAAGGGGTCAAGCTATTTCCTAATGCACTCAAAGGCCAGACAAAGAATAATGGAACTGAACAAGGAGAGATTTAACCTGGAAATAAGGAGAAACTTTCTAACAGTCAGAACAATCAACCAATGGAACAGCTTGCCCTCAGAAGTTGTGGGAGCGCCATCACTTGAGACTTTCAAGAAGAGCTTGGACTGCCATTTGTCAGAAATGGTGTAAGATCTCCTGCTTGGGCAGGGAGTTGGCCTACAAGGCCCCTTCCAACTCTGATTATCTGTTATCTGTTATGTGCAAGATAATAGATATGTGCAAGAAAAAATTATTAATGTAAGAATTTCATTAATGTTCCTGGATTCCTCTGCTTCAAGTGATCACCTACTTTCTGCATTCTGTAGTTCCAATTCCA